GCTGAACCATGCTAAACCATTCTAAACCATGCTAAACCATGCTAAACCAGTCTAAACCATGCTAAACCATGCTAAACCATGCTAAACCATGCTGAACCATGCTAAACCATGCTGACGACCGAAGCAAACGTAAGCCAAAACAACCCGGGCGACTGAGTCCTGTGATGGCTGTTCTTGAGTCATCCAAGAGTAGGTCCCTTCCGCATGCCTAGAGAAAACAATGTCAGGGTCTAGAACTCCGTTGCTGTCTCCTATCACATACAATGCTTGGAGTCTGCTGTCACGTCAATTGATCAAGAGACATTTTAAATGTATACATTTCTTTATCTATACAGAGAATTCGCCAGCAAAACTAGGTCAACATCACGTAGCAAGCTATATATAGATACGCCTGAGCAAGCAAGACGCAGGCAAACCCTCCCCTCTCTTCGCTTGCATGCCCATCGTTGGTCTCGAGACATGCGCACTGTGGTTGATCTACCGCCCCGCACCGGTTTTTGTTTTCGGTTATAATTCTTGAAAACCTATTAGTTACAAATAACAAGTTCGAATTTTGGTTTATCTTTTATCTTATATAATGTTGAACAGCCATATTTCATGCTGTTACCATTCGTATGGGACTATGCCATGGTGTCATCAAACTATTATTCTCATACCATTAAAAATTTAATCATAATACTTATATACAATTTTTAAATTTTAAAAATATATAATAGTCTTTGCATTATTCTTAAATAATTATTGTTTTACCAACTTATTTCAATACAAAAGATAATAAAAATTTGAATTCAATTTTTGCAGTAAATTTAACCCCAAAAAAGGAAAGAAGTAAATAAACTTTCTAATTCTTTCATGCTTTAATTTTGCTCTTTTTTTAAAAGAGACTTCCCTTAAATAATGAAAGCACTAAGAATCTATTTATTTATATGAAATCTGAACTTTAGTAAGACAGATAAGTTTAGAATTAGACTAAATACATAAATTATTATAAATTTATGAATTTATCTCTCTTCTTGAATATTATCTTTTTCATTTAACTTTTGTCCATTTAAGATTGGAGCAAAATATATTTACTAGATATATCCCGCCTAACATTGGAGACAGCAATGCGTGAATGCGTGAACTTACCATCTAATAAATTAACTTGACAAAACATGAACTCAAGTCACGCACATTTAAGATCCCAATTTTTTTTTCACCCCTTCCCTAATGATACGTCAATGCACATTTTTCATTCACGCCCACGAACTATATTAAATATTTTGATGTCCCATCCACTTTAAAACTGAACATTTTTTACACCATACTTAAATTGAGACAATCTGATTTTCCGAAAAGAAAATTTTAAGCGCCAAATGCAACTGCGTTATATAGATATAAAAAAAAAATCATTGAGCGTAGTTATCGGGAATTATATTTTCGCGCTATTGAACCCATTATTTAACCATACTTTCATTTAAACATATAACATTATTTGTAGAAGCTCTTAATACCATTTGGCTGATTAGGAAGCAGTCCAGTAGGAGGCAGTCATTAAGGAACAGTCCATAAGGAAGTAGTCCACTAGTCATAACTGAAGCGTAATATACATAAGAGATACCTATTGAAAAGAAAAAATCATTAATGCAAACATTTAATTTTTAAACATTGTCTTTCACATTTAAATGAATATTGTTTCTTTCCTGGAACTGGAAGAGATTTTCGGCGATGACCATATCTCTATGGACACGTTAATCGAGTGCTTTGCAATGCCTTACTTTACTTCATTGGGGGAAGCTTTAAAGCAGCACGACAAAAGGTAAAAACTGCATCGCAACTTGCGCCTGCGTCAATCTGATCTCGTTTTTTTTCCCCATTTACTATCGCTTTAAATACCAGCTTGTACAGGTAAACAGAACCGCCTACCGAGTCAATTAGTATAAAGGACTTAACACCAGCCTCCTCCACATAAACACTTTTTCTTCTTCTTCCTTCCAGCACAAAGTCACTCACAATCTTATTTAAGTTGCTAAATACTCAAATCGTTTTAACCATTTTCTCTAAATCGAAAGTAGATCTATGTTTCCATGTAAACAGCTGCAGAAACAAGAAGAACACAATCGCTACACTAAACAAAGTAGCCGCGAATTTTCATCCAATTAAGCAGACACAGGAACATGGCAATGTAAAAAAAAAGCCCCCCCTCCAACATATCCCCCCCCCCGAAAATACAGTTCCTCCTTAACATACATGCTAGATCAGTGTTTCCCAACCTGTTTTGGGCTGGTTTGAAATGTGCAAATGCTTTCACAGCATATCCTTAAAAGACCAAATCTGTTATGGTAATATTTTCAAAGACACAGTCCGCCATTATCTCTGGTTAGATGAACAACTTCCTATCTTTCTACGCATTCACCATCTTATGGATAGTGTAGTGGTCACATTTACGTAAAGTGTTAAAGCCCTAAATTTAACAGAACAATATAACAGATTGTGTTTTCACGTCAGCTAGATTGAACACATTTTCAACCATTTAAAAAAAATGTTTCTCAATAAAATAAATTAATTAATATAAACATTACTTGAGTTTTATATTAGCTCTTTGATTTGTTTTGTGTTTGTATATATGTTACGCCCAAAGTCCGAAACCGGCCAAAATTGGAACTGGCCAATATCGCCTCACATTGACTGGCCAACATCCGATAATTTCTTGATTTCGGGATTTGGCCAGCCAGTTTGCGAAATGGCAAGGGGCGTTCGGCCAAAGTCGGAAGAGAACGGTCATGAGAAGAATTTGGGTGATAGTATATCGTATTGATAATCACATTATATTGATTTTTAATTATACTAAATTATCAAATCAGTCAAATTAGTTTATTATAGTAAATTATCAATCTCTATCATCACTTGTTGCAACAAGATGATCTTTTATGATATCTCGAATTTCACAGCAGTTTGTTATAGCAATAATTTGTGAAGCACTGCGTAATGCAATCGAGTGACCACGTTTCTTTGCCTTTAGAAAAAAAAACTAGCAGCTGAGTTTTGAACTTTCTGCCGTTTTTTCTTTGAAATGTTTTGGTGAACCTGAAAGAAGAGAGATACTACAGTCAATACGAGAGAGGACAAGAGCAGAGATTAGTGTTTTTGTTGCGCTAACTGTGAGGTAGCCGTGGATAGCGGTGCACGCAGAATATAAGCTTTTTTATCCCATTATACATCCCCGTAGAACAATATAGGACTTTCTGGAACATTCTAGATTTAAATAAATATCCTCCTAGAAACGTGGAAAAAAAACTTTTCTAAGTAATTATTCTTTTGATTCGTAAACCGATACAATGAGTTGCACTACTAAAACTTGTAGAACATTTAAGTTGAAAGAGGGTCCCCGGCGGTGGCCCCATTTCATAATTGTACCGATTTAGTATTGGCTGAGATAAGGGGCCCTATCAAAATCAGTCAGAGAAATAATGGAGCTAAACTGAAAAGCTGTGCCCCAATAAAATCAAATCAAAATGCCATTAATTAATATAGTCTTTTTCTTTTTAAATATCGAACATTTTAGAAAATAGAATCAGACTAGTCTCCTCGATTATAATTGGCTATGTCGATTCCGCCCACTACTGGCTACTTCGACGTTCTGGCTCGTGTACTTCAGCCTATTCTAGCTAAGCTGGGCCACTACAGTTAAATTAGAATAGCATGTGCCCACTTCAAGACTAATTTATTATTCTAGGAATATTGTGTGCCCTTTAGTAACTTTTATTTATAATTCTTAGAATAACTGAGTACCCTAGCATGCAGAGGCGTATCTAGACTGTTTGGCGCCCGGGGACGAAATTCGCGCCTCGGGGACCTCATTCATTTTAAAGCGCCCCCTTTCCTTTCAACTCTCGAACCTTTTATTTTTCATAAATAAAAAATATCATGGCACATTTTGGCGCCCCTAACAAGCTGACGCCCGGGGGACATCTGTCACCACCCCCCCCGTGCCACCTCCCTTCGTTACGCCTCTGCTAGCATGCAAACTGCAACAACCAGTAAACAACAGTAGCTGTTCTTAGCCTCTGGCCAATTCAATGACATCATTCGTGACATTGTAGTTTTTAGGTCATCATTATATTTAGTAATGGACATCGCTGGCGCTTCTTCAGCTAAGCTTAAATAGGATTTTTTAAAACCCCTTTTTCTAGGTTTCATTTTTAAAACAAAACAAGTTCACACTTTGAACTGATCCCATTTATTGTAAATAAATTTATGAAATGGTATTACAATTACATTTTTACACAGCATTTTCTTTGTAACATATTATTATTTATAGAACCCAAAATAGTATTCATTTTTATTATTTTTTTTAAATAGAACATATGAAAGACGAAAGTGCACAATTTTTTATATTCACTTTTAAATTTAAGTGAATTCGTATGAAAAAACATAATTTTATATTTAAAAGAATGTTAGCTATTTATTTTCTTTGAATAAAATCCCTTTTCAATGACATACAAATGTAAAAGCTAAGTTATGTGAACCATTTATTAAATACATTAATGATTATAATGAATTTAAACCTACATATATGTAAATATGAAAGAATTTGTTTTAAAGAAAGCAGCATCCACAAATTTGGTCCAAATCCGTCATTAAATAAATGGTTAAAACCCCTTTTGTTATTTCACTATTATTCTCCATAAAATTTAATATACAGAATGAAATGACATCAATGTAGATTCCTTCACTTACATGTTAAATGTTAATGCCGATTAAAATAGCATCTTTGATGTAGAGAAAGGGCGTTTAGTTCAAATCAGCATAAATGCATCATTGTTGATAATACAAAAATTAAGCTTTACACGTTGAGTAGATATAACAAGAGAAAGGGCGGAGAAAGGTTGTTTTTTTTTTTTTTTTTTTTTTTTTTTTTTTTTTTAATAACCAATTTTTACTGTACTTCAATTCAAATACGCAACGCTAATTTTTAAGAAGAAAAAAAATGGTGTTGAAAAATTAAAAAAAAATAAAAACCAAGTGGACAAGCCACGACCTCACTTAATGAACATATTATATTCAACAAAATGTCAATTGGAATTAATTTTTTTTAAAGAGTTTAATTAGCTCAACTCTATTTGGACACGTATTCTTTTGTGCGTATGGTTTGAATATGAAGGGGAAACAACGCGATACTTTAGCAATGTAGTGAAATTATGCTAATTTTTATTAAATGTACTTTTAAAAAAAAAAAAAATCTTGGATTGGAAATTTGGAAGAAAAAAAAAGAAAGTTGAAATTATTGTAAATAATCAAATTTTGAACTTCAATTGTAGACAATTAAAAAAAGAATCAATTATTCTTTAAATACATACATTTTACTTGTCGAATGCACTGTTTATAGACAATGCTCAAGATTTGAAAAAAAATTTTAATGAAAATTATTTACGTAATCAAAGTACCGTAACTGCGTGCCTTAAAGAACCCATATTTATATCAACAGCCAAGACAGTTGTTTACATTCTTTACGTCACTGCCATTTCAAAAGACTTCTGGAAACTAAATTTGTGTAGGCTTCTTTTGATAAATCTAAAACTATTAGCTAAACCAGCTGGCCACTTTCCTAAAAGGCCACGTGATCCCACTGACGACCTTGCTCAAGACACTCTCGTCATTTTTCTCCTTAATCTTTCTGTATTCCTTCTCAAGCTCTTCCGTTCTTCGTATGTGCTCCCGCCGTTCCTGCTCTAGCTGAATCGCATGTTCCCTCTGTCTCTCTTCTCTTTCACGTCTCATTTTTCTCTCCAGCTCTTCGCGCGTCTTCTCTTGCTGTCTTAAAATCTCAGCTTTTCTCTCGTCTGCAAGTCTCTCCTGCTTCAACATCAGCTCGAACTGTTGACGAACTCTTTCAGTCTCTTCATCAGCTTTTCTCTTTAGCTCCTCTTCTATCTTTTTAATCCTTTGACTCTCCTTTTGGTTTCTGATGGTGAATTTGATTTCATCCGATATTGTTGATATGATGGACTTGACCGTCTGAACGATTTCATGTAGGGCCCCGGTTCCTCTGTCTAAATCACAAGTGCTTTTCAATAGCGCTTCTGCCCGAACAAGGAGTGCCTCCAAGAGGTCCAGTTTTGTTTCGAAATGGTCACGAGCCTGAATCTGCTCCAGCTTTTGTAGAATGAGACTAACTTCTCGCATAGTCTCGTCCCTTATAAGTGGCTCCTGTGCATCAACCATGACGCGCATACGGGCATCTCTGGCTTCCTCAAAATTCTTGTCCGTGTATCTCTGACCTTTTGAACTCAGTCGGTCCACTACCGATAACAGCTGGCGCAGTTGTTTGTCTCTGATGTCCTCATCTTTTGTTAAATTATTGAATAGAACAATTCTGTTATTACACTCTGACAGTAGAGATTTAAAAGCTCCCGTTTGTGACCTGCACCAGTCTTCAAACGTCTGGCCAGTTTCTTCGCTCTCACTCTCGAAGGTGTCTCCATTAGACATGAGCAAAATACAAAATTCTTTAACGAACGTCTCACCAAAGATTTTCTTCAAAAACACAATAGTATCTTGCTCCTCTCCCGTAAATCGTTGGCCGTACTTCACGACCAGGAGAAACGCGTGGTAGCCCTTTGGGTTTGTGGCTATGGCTTTTTCCATCCCAACCATGACGAGTTTCACCGCCTCATCCGTGTTCATCCGTGTGTCCCCGACGCCAGGTCCGTCGACAATTTTTAGAATTCGGCCGTTGAAGTCACTCACCTCGTAGTCGATTCTCTTTGTGACTGACGAGAAGGCACCGCTGCTTTTGAAAGCTCTTCGTTTGAGGATAGCATTTCCTGCTGCACTCTTCCCGTTTCCGGTTTTGCCTATAAGAAGCAGATCGACATCACTTGACTGCATCATGTTGGAATAGCTGAAAAATAATGTGTTTAAAATATGTTTGACATTAAAAATAATATTACTGTAAATGTAAAATTTTGGCATGGGGATGAAACGACATTATTATTTATACATACACAAAATGTCGTATTATGGAAATTGTTTAAATGAACTTGAAAAAAAAATTCAAATTACCAAAAAAATGAACAACTAATTTCTTTCAAAGCTATTTATAAAGGTAAATGTAAAAAGAACTAGCACTTCCGTTCCACAAATACAAACGAGGTTAAAAACATTACAAATATCAGCAAAGGTTTAAGGTTTGAGGCATTAGACTTGGGGCACTGGACTTGGGGCACTGGACTTGGGGCACTGGACTTGGGGCACTAGACTTGGGGCACTGGACTTGGCACAGAATTTTTTTATCTTTAAGGCAAGCTCCACTACAGCTCTTCTCCGAGTTCCGGGAAAATTAAAAAGTTGGAAGGGGTGATTGAAGGGACGCTAAGTGTTTTAAAGAAATGTTTTTTTTTGGGTTGTTTTTTTCCTTAACCAATATGATTAACTAGTCATTAGAAGTGTGTGTACCAGGAATATAGCAGGTGGAAGATTGTGCAACATATAGAGTTCGTCAGACGAAATCTCTTCGACCACCTTAAACATCGTATACGCTGTGAATTGTGTTACTTCATCTTCATTTCTTTCTATTAATTTTTTAGAAGACTTGGAGCTCGGAGCAGTCAGACATTTTACCAGCTCCATGTGAAAAGACCCCTGTTCCAGACCTCCGAGCTCCAGCACCAAGCTTTGGAACGTCTCAAGGGGTCACTAGGATCACATATGTGCTTCTAGTTTGGTTATTATTTTAGGATTATTGTCATGCCAAGGTACATTTTGATGATGAACTAATTGCCCATTCAATAATGCAAGGGGAAAATCACTTGACGGCAGGGACATTGTAGCAGTTTTTTTGTTTTGTTTTTCTAAGTGAAAATTACATAACAGTATTTTTTTGTTTACTTGTAGCTATAGGATGATTGTGGGCCCTCAAAATAAGGAGGAAGAAGAAGCTGATTTAATTACAATCTTTGTAATCCCTGTAATGTAAGTCAGTGAAATTTATGAGTCAAGAACAGGCGAGAATATACTATTATCAGTAGTTGAATTTTGTGTCGTAAATTCTGTCACAGTTAGGTAGTGTGTTACTACCTCCAGTTTTTGATAGAAAATAACATTGTGTTGATATATTAGGCCGTACCTGAACACAGTAAACAGAAAAATGACACCGAATTTCAAGTGACTGTACTCTTAAGCTTTACCGTTGTTAAATAGTGTTATACTTGTTATCTCCCTTAGATCTTGTGTTGTTGTTTTTTTTTGGGGGGGGGGAGGATCGATTAAAATGATGTCATTGTCCCGCTGGCAAGTCACTGGTACAACGTCACACATATCCAGTGGCGTAGCTAGAGTATTTGGCGTACCGGGGGGGGGGGCACAAGATTAATTTTAAAGAGCCTCCCTTTCTTTTTCCAAC